AGAGTTAGAGAGTACACTTTACAATCTGTAGTCTTAAAATCTGGCTTTAGATTAATAGTATAGTCCTAAGATTAATACTCTAGTAATTACTTAAAGGATTCTTTACTGAATACATTCTTGTATACTTTCAGATAATAAGGGATTATAAAAACTAGAGTAGGATTATTATCAGTTCTCCTTAGGTACTCTAGAACATTTGAATATGTCTCTAGTTCATTCAAGAACATAGAACAACTGTCTAAACATCTAGTAAAGGACACAATACCTTGTCCCTAATTAATCTCTAGATTATGCTTGTTTAACCAATCATATTCTAGAAAGATATTACTTAATACTAATATAGTGACTACTAGACAAATTGTCTCTGTATGTACTTTAACAGAGAGTTCCACTTTAACATATTCCTTTAGGAGACCTTTATTATTACTTGTACTATTAGTATTAAAGACTAGGAAGGGATTCTTATACAGATATATTATTAACTTGTTGTTCTTAATAAAACCTGTATCTATGTATAATCTAGTACACTCTGAATCAATTAGAGTATGTGTATTAATGAGTCTATAATCTGTTTTAATTGTTAAGAACATATCTAGTTACCTTCTAGTGTTAGAGTAAATGTACAAAGCTTCTCTAGGAGAAACTGAGCCTACAAGTCTATAAGGGATACTTAAAACTGTTCCTACACCTTTTACCTCTTTACAGACTTTAGAATTAATAGGTTCATCAAAGAAATAAGAGTCTTTACTGTCTAGAGTGTTATAATACAAACAATAATTGTCTATATTTGATTCAGATGTTTAGTATTAATTATTTACATAATAATAACTCTGTTCTAACTCTTTCTCAGACAATACAGTGTTTATACTTAAGGATTAACAAAAGACTCCTCTTCCTCAATCTGTTCCTCATCTGATTCTTTATCTATAAAGTCCCCTTCCTTTAATTTCTGTATTGTCTCTACAAAAGCAAACCTTTCCTTAGGTCCTATAACTCTAAGAATCATTCTAACTTTTTAATACTAAGAAGGACAAACTCTAGTAAAGTGACTAATCTCTTTACAAATGTAACAAGCTTAATTTTTCTTAGTTTTGTTAATTGAGATGTTTATTAGTTCTCTAGCTTCTAAGAATGTTTTTCTATTAGGAGTCAACCTGAAAGAATGTAAGATTGATTAAGAATTTGTCTGTACATTTAGAGCTTTAAAATGTGTAGTAAAATTGGATTGAGGAGAGTTGTAAGCCTTGTTAGGAAGATTAAAGTACAGACAGCTGTCAGATTGACTACTAGAGAGTCCTCTGTGTGTAAGAGTCTCTCTGAGTTAAGTTTCATTATTGTTAATCTGAATTACATACTTTTTCTATTCATTATAAGTACTTAAGACTAGTGATAGACACATTAACTAATGAAGTACTTTAGGATTAAGAGTATACTAAAGTAAATCAATTAATATAGAGTCATATACTTTACTACTCAGTCTAGCTTTAGTCTTAAGATTCTTAAACTGATAGAAAAAGACATTTATAGAGTGATTTCCTTGCTTGAGTTGTCTGAGCTTCTGAATAGCAGTTTCTTTCTTACTAGGGTTATTAAATGACTGCTCTAGTTACTCTATAAACTCTTAGAATAATTGTGTGTAAAGAATTTTGCCCTCAACATCTGTGTTTTAGGTAACTTAATTTTCTACCTATATAGTAACTGTCCCTTCCTTTAAATAAGAAAGTACAAAGAGTATCTTCTTTTTACTGTTATAGAAGGCTCTTTCATTAGTAAGGATATATAGTAAACATTCTCTTTTAAAGTTCTAATAATTCTTACCTCCTTTGTACTCTCTGAGAGTAGTAGTAATCTTTCTAAGGTTTCTAACAGGAGTATAGTGTATTACTACAGTAACAGCTTGACTAGTAGCCTTTGTAATTAATTGAGAGACTGAATTCATGTCTAAGTATATATATACACTTTACTAGAGCTGTACAGGCTTATAGGAGAGTGTAGGAGAGTTTCCTAAAGGATTTAACATTGTTCCTAAGGCTAGCTCTAATGAATTAACTTCTAAAGTACTGAATACTCTTTCAAATGCTTGAGCAAGCTCTAAAACGTTTAGGTCTTTGTTAGAGGCTAGTGTGAATGATTATAAACAATGTATAAGTTCTAGGAAACATTCCTTCAGCTAGTTTACTACCTAGGCAACTTTGATCTTTCAGTTTTAAACTCTTAAGCTACTTATATGTACTTTGTTCTAAACACAATCTAGTGACTCTTATCTAATAACACTAAATAACTGTAAGACAATGCTAGACTTTCAGACTGTAAGGTCCTTAAAGGTGTTACTACTTAAGAGAGGCTCTAATCAACTAGTAAACAAAGGCTAGAGACTGAGCTTTATAAGTAGTAAGTTAAAAAGTATTTAGAAAGAGTATAGCTATATAAATTGTAAAGACAACACACAAACTTGAAAGAGTGAAAGAGAGCAAAGGATAGTAACAATACAACCTTGAGAGTAGAGTATAAAATAATAGAAAATAAAGTAACAAATGAGTGAGGGACAATATAGAATTAATAGTAAATTAGTTTAATAGTTCTTTAAGAAAGTAAAAGGTATATTTATAAAGGGAGTAAGGAATACTCAAACAAGTAGTAGCTCAGTTTAAGTAAACCAATCAAGTGGTAGCTTAGATTAGGCAGATTTGGTGGATTTGGCAGATTTGGCAGATTGAGTAGGAGGAGTAACTAAGTAGTAGCTTGAGTCAGGGAAAGTTGAGTAACAGTTCTAACTATATACAGGAAATGAATCAAACAGTAGTTTAGACTCAAAGGAGAGTAGGATTGGATAAAGAGGATAGTTGAGTAGTAGCTTGGACTAGAAGGATATTAATTGAGTAGTAGCTTAGACTAAGAGTAGTATTAAGGTAGAGATAAGTTTTTTAACTCTTATGTTAGAGGAGATGTGTTCTCTAGGTTGATAACACTCTCAAACTGTGAATGTAGACCTGTAGCCCTTAAACCAACTATATTTCCAAAGCTACTAGCTAGGATTTATACTAGGAGAATAAGTAGGAATATGAGAAGAGTCAAAAAACTAAGGAACTACTGTATCTACAGACTACTTTTTATAATAACTAAATAACAAGAGTAAAGTGAGGAATGAAACTTAAGAATAAGATTAAAGAAATAATAAGAACAAATATTGTAAAGCCAACAGGCACATTAGAGGCTAGGAAGAATTAACAGAGTGTTGTGTATTAGAGAATATAAGCTAAGAGGCTATTATACAAAAGAGGTGCAAGTTACCATATTGGGTGAGAAATGGATTGGCTGTGTTGTGAAATGAGTACTCATTTCCTTACAGTCCTAACAATAAGAAAGTACTAAGAGTAAAGAAGTAAAAGCTCTAGAAATTGAGTAAGTAATTAAGTACTACAGTTGTACTACACACTTAACAGTAGGTTGTATACACTTATAGAGACAAGTTAGAGATCTTGAACTTTGTAGAAGGACCTGACAAGACTTTTAGTTAAGAAATATAAATGTATTAGAGTAGTTTATATTCAAAATTGAGCTTAGAACAAATAAAACAAGTAGAGTACTTATATTAAAATCTCTCTATTTGTTCTGAACTCAATTTTGAACATATTTACATGAAACTTGTTGTAAACTACTCTAATACATTTATATTTAATTTAAGAATACAGTTTGAGGCTGAAAAAACTTTATTAACTGTGAGGGAAACTAGAGTAAAATAGTCAGTTTTATACATTTTAGCCCTCTCTCAATAAAACAGAATAAGTAATCTATTCATAGTAAATTTAGTATGTAAATTAATCATTAATGTATCTGACTAGAATAAACAGTTTTCTAAGTCTATATGTTCAGATTTAAGACTAGGAAAATTTATACAAGGAAAAACAGCTAAAATCTATGTATTTCAGTTTTCACAAGACAAGAAAAAGAGATAATTAAAAACTAATTTGATAAATATATTCTACTATTAGAAACATGAATTTAGCAACTTATTTGAAGTAACTCTATCAAGATTTGAGTGAGTTATAGTACTTTTTCTGTATTTTGCAACTTTGTAAAAAAAAATCATGTAAACTATACTACAGCCAATATTTTTGCAAACAGCTGTAAATGACTCAGAATAACTGAGTATTTGTTGAGATATAATATTTTTTGTGTTTTAATGTTTTCACTGACAAAAATCATGTGTTTCACACATGTGACAACCTTTTTGAAAAAGGCTGTAATTGAGCATTCTATCAATAGATCTTAGCCTCAAAGTACTATACTTAATGCCTACTAGTATTTATACTTAATGTTACCCTAATTTCCTACCTACTACTATAGTGGACTCAAATTTTCATGTGTATTAACAAGTTATACTAGTCTACAAGTATGCTTATAGACAAGTTCTACTGTATTTAGAAGAGACAGGGAATGGGAATGAGAGGGGTTCAGAGAAGTAGGAACAATTATTAAATATTTTCAAAAACTGGGTCACACAAAGCTTCTTTAGCACTCAGTCTCTCATTAGAATCAAGCACTAAGAATGACTATATTAGCCTGATGAATGCAGAAACTTCCTCAGCACCATTATTCAAGATACTGGATTCGTTTATTTTGGACACAATAGACTCAAACCCAGTACTTTCCAAAGTCGCAGTTGTGCACTTCAACACATCTAAATGTGGGACAATTAATAGAGCATGTCATTGAGTGTCAAAGTGGAGTAACACACCTTTGAGACTGAGTTGCTTCCTTTGACCTTTGTATTGCTTCAATACAGATTCATTATGTTCTTGACCAGTGTGCAGAGTCATCTGTGCAAGATGGACAATATCACAAGATAGACTGTCAGTAGCTTTGGGTGTGAAAAGCTATGTGCCCATTGCAAACTCGTACATCTTAAGAGGCTTACTTAGTATAACATCTCAGAGCTGGTTAGCAGGAGGAGAGATCAGTACCATGCATCCAAGGCTCCAAATATCAACAGTAGGATCCTATTCAAGGCTAAGAATGACTTCTAGGGCACGTAGAGCATATGGCTGAATGATATTGCTTAGATGCTCGTCTTGCACATGGGCTAAACATCTAGCCTTAGTGGACTATTCTCAGGTGCCATTACATTTTCGCACTGTGCCCTAAGTCTGTAATGACCCAATGAAATCTAGTGTCTTGGTTCGAAGGCAAGTCAAACAAAAGAGGACAGGCGACAACTGGATGAAATGGAAGCTCGTCTGGCAGCACTGTCTTTGGGAACTCGTAAAGTGTGGGCGGTCGTTCTATGAGCTCATGCATGACGACCGTATCTATATCAGACAGCAAGAGAAGAAGGTTTCCAGGTTTTAAGTCTACTCAGATGGTCAAGTCAGTTATTAAGAGCAGCCGAGACTGTGCGAGACGTACCGGAATGAACTACCTTACATTCATTGTGCAGATATTTGAGACCTTTCAAAACGTGCTTTGTAAGACGTAAAATAAACTTCAGTGGGAGTCGCTGGTCTGGTAGCTCCTTTAGCAGATTTGGGACGCTATAGCTGGAAACGTCTGTGACGAAACAAATATGACGACCGGCAAAACTTTCAAATTCGAATTCATGGAGAAGATGGACTATGTGTTGATACCCATGGTGAGAAGGAGCTGCACTCGAGACCTTTCGAAGAATATCACGTTCCTTAAGCCGTCCTGCTTCTATTTCCCTTGACGCATGCGATGACAGGATTTTAAGGGCAACAAAACGATCGTCTCTTAATTTATCCTCGTCAGTAGGTTATGAAGAAGGATAATTTCTAGCACGCACTTGCAGTCCCTTGTTAGCCATACGCTCGAAAAGCCACCCCAACCGAGCTTCTTTGTAATGACGAATCGTTCCTCGTCAAAGGTTTCTCCAAGTCGTACTGGATAGAATCCACCGCACTCATCAACGGATGACGCACGGTTCTCTTCTGGCCACTTTAGCTCTTTCAGATCTTGGCTAACTTGATATGTAGGCCGAGAAGCAGGAGAATTGGCAGACGTTCTTGGAATAGTGTTACTGAAGGGGCGCAAAGAGGTCTTTAGATAGTTAGGTGTGAGTCTACAGATATTGAGAACATTGGCAATTCTTCTGGCGTTGAGAAAGGGCGATAAGGTAGGTCGAAGGAGTGTAGGAGGACAGTAGAACATGGCGTGCAGTCAGAACGCGAGCGGCTCGGGCTGAGTTAGTTGTGTAAAAAAGGCGAGCACCGTTCCAAGTGCACTGTCGATGCCATACTAAATTTGCATGTTCTGGATTCTCCAATGTTGTTATACTCGACACCTTTGAACTCTTCCCCACAACAAGCACGTGATCTGAAGTGTTTCAAAGTCGATACATGTATATGCAGTGATTAGAGCCAGGATATTAAATGATAACTACACTATAAAATGCGTGTGTTCAAGTGTTTAACTATCGTCCTAACCACCCAAGCAACTTCGCCTTGAACCCTGCCCGCTCTTGCTCTGCTTTCTTCCGTGCTCTACGAGTACGGTTGTTCATAACCTCTGCCGGTGCAGCGCGGGCACCGTCTTGGGAGGCGTTCATCGATTGTGTTGATGGTGATAAACTCTGTTGTGGTGTCGCTTGCGATATTCTTTCTGAGGACTCGGGTTCCTGCAAAACTGACGCGTCTTTTGAGAATGGCGTTGGTGAATGTTGAGAGGAAGAGGGTTTTGAATTCTCGGAAATCGTTCTTTCAGTTTTCTCGTCTGACGATGTGGTGGTTGCTTCTGATCGCACGTCGGAACTGGTAAGGAATTGACGAGCGTTGCGAGTTTCTTCTGCCTCTGTTACTGGCACATTTGGTTCGAAAGATGTTGAAACTCCACCTGCTCGGCTAGTTGAGCCCTCTGCATTTTCTACCGGTGTCGCGTCGATGTCTGAGACTGCTGTAGTGCCCTCGACAGATCCTAGACTTGCACTTGCTTCCCAGTCTAAGACGACTTGCCGACCATCACGCTCCACCAAGCCGTGGTCAGGTTCGTCGTTGTTCTTCAAGCGTAACCTGGCACTAACAAGCGCATCTCGCATCGAGTTCGTCGCGAGACGAACTGTCTCCGCCTGCTGCCTCTGTCTTTCCGTTAGTTCCTCCAGATTATCCACGACCTTCCCACCAAGCACTATTTGACCTTCTTCGTCCGAATACGGTGAGAACAGATAGTGCGGATAAAATCCACCCCATCGGGCAAACGCACGAGCTGAATGAATTCTATGCTCTCTCGTTTGCCAAGTTCTCAATACGTCGCGTGCTATAGGCTCGATTGTGAAGCCATCGTTAAGCATCTCGATGCGCACTTCGCATAGGTCTACGCTGTCGGGAGGAGTGCCTTCCTTCCAACCGTTCGTATTAGTCTCTGCTAAAATCTTCTCTACTACACTTGAAGCGACATTCTCCATTTGCCTGTCTTGATCGGTCACAGTGACCAGTTCCGCGGATCCAGTGTCCGCAGGACGTAAGAAAGGCTGGATATCCTCTAGGCCAACACCACCGTTAAGGTCCTTCTTATCGTCCCAGTCTGTTGGTGCCGGTACCATTATCCTCCCCGATTGCTTACCCTGCAAAACGTGGTCGAGACGTTTTGCGCTATCCTGATCCCGGAAGATGACAAATAAAGTTTTTACGTATGCATTTGGCGAATCTTTATCCTACATCCTGGATTAGAGAAAATTGGGATTGAAGATGTAAATCTAATGCAGGCCGTACCCGTAGAATCTTAAATTCTCGTACACTTCCGAACCGTCGTTCCAATTCACGTATAAGGGAAAGGATACCCGGAAAGTTGAGCAGTCTTACTTCCGGAAGGATATATACGCAGGGAAAACGATTGGCACGTTGTTCTGCCTGTTGACCTTGGGTTGCTCGAGTAAGAGACTGCTCGTCCAACTCCTCTCGCGCCTCTTCCCCAAAAATATCGGATAGAGGAGAGTGGGACCTAGCTCCATTAGTAGCAGAGTCCGCAGTGGTGGCACGCTTGTCGTTAACGTCATCTTGCAGCAACCGTCCTAATGGAGGGGGAGGACCAGCAACATCAGCTGCTGGGTTCGACTGGACCGTCGCAATACATCGAAAGCCAGGTGGACGGTATGCTTTTTGACGAGGACGAGAAATAGAACGAAGGAGGAGCAGGTCACGACAGACCCATCTTGCGTTCATCGTCGTCGACAACAGCAGGGAAAATTCACGAAATATTCTGAATAAACTCTGCGAGTCACGTGCATCCCTAGTTCACGCCGCAGTTCTTAACTTTTCTCTCGCATGATTGAAATATCTTCCCTAGGCCTGTCCGCAGCATACTTACCATCTACGAGCACAGTCCTCGTATCAGTGGCGCATAACGTAGACCTGGTGTATGGATGATTGCACAGCTGTTCGTCCAAAGTTCCAAACACCGAACTGCACAAAAGAAAATGGCGCCCGGCTATTTTGGTCCTTTATGCACCAATGCTAATGGCTTTAATTGTACAGTTCTCATTTGTCCTGTTCACTGCCCCTTCATGAAGCTTTTCGTTGTACGCGCGTCGTTCGATCACTTTTTATCCGATGTGATGAAGGCTGCGGGGTCTTACGACCTGATTCCCGACTGAAACGGATATGCATCAGTTCCTTCACATTGGCACATGAAGGAGGAATGCGACTTCTATTAATGCTTGCTGCGGACTCGGCGCTTGAGGAATCTGGATGAATGCCATGGCTTCCAATCATTCGCAGTCTAATCACTGCCTCCCCATAAGGCTTGTGGTCTTCTATGTCCTTGTTTAATACAGTGGGCCCGTCCAGACTCGAAATTAAATACTTCCATACGGGCGATTCAACATTTAGTATCTGCTTGACGCTGGAAGTCCTGCATTCACACGCATGATCACTATTTCAAAGAGGCTATACACAAACATCTTGCGACCATCGGCGATTACAGGTGTGTTCTGGTAACTTCGAACCTTTCTGAAGTCACTGCCCCGCTTTGTTTCCCATATCTAATTCCAATACACTGTTAAAGTCGTGCGAACGCGGCTATGCTTGACTACAGAATTTAGGACCCACTTAACGTAATCGGACACGAATCGTTGTCATGGCTGCATCCTACGCGTTTCTATCGCAAAATCATCCGCTCATCGCCTTAACAATGTCTCTGGGCCCACTTCCGTGAGCTCCACATTACTTTCAAAGACAGCAAGGCTATCCAACAAGCGCTAAGTGTTCCTGGTCTTCCCATGATCGATATGGATCATCAACGGGGCTGTTCCTGGCCTGTACATCGGTCAACCATGCATATCAAAGACTGTAAGGGATTCACGGCTCGAATCGGATGTGATCTACAGGCCGGACTGATCGCATATAAAAGGGCTTTGAATGTATCCCAGCCTTCATCTTGGACCATCCATTACCATGTCGTGGATACCTACTCTTCTGAAGAAAGAAAGGGCATCGCGGAAGTATATCGATCTCGTTAAGAGTGCGACGGATAAATATGCAAGCTGGGAGCCATCACTTCCCATCGTAGTAAGTTCCTGTCCAATACTTTCTTTTCACTAGCTCACACGCGCTTGCACGTATTTGCTTCCACTGTGACAGCCAGGAGACTACGGCTTGGTTGATAGGCGATCTGGCCAGTTCGAAAAACATGGGAATATCTACCAAGAAGAAGATATTAAGGACCTCACATTGAAATACCCGCCAGAGACAGGACCTGAGGTTGACGATTATCGGATACATTCTACGAATACAAGAACAGTAACCCTCGGTCCCGATGTACATGCGTAAGTACTGCTAGACTTGCGACGAAGGGATACATTTAACACACGACTATATTTCAGGACGTTTCTCGGTGCTGTCCAACCGGCGCTAGGCGGACAATGGCGATTCGGTAGACATCGTGGAGCGCTCCTCCTTATGTATAGACAGCGCATCACGAGAGTCCCTCACGAGCTTCTGGAACAATTGAGGATATCTGATTGGGTGAAAGGACGGCATATTGTGACACAGGTTCACAATTGCCCCGCTTATGCTCTCTACCTTTCTGACAGGAGTAAATATGAAATTCCTATAATCATACCACTAATATTGTGCTGATATTTTTTAAAATAGGCAGTGAGACTGTCAGTATCAGCCTTCGTGTAGATGTTCCTGTCCCGACTGTTCCGGGATTAACTGCCGGAGCTGGACTCACTGCATCATGGGTCGCAAAGGGTGTCACCGGAATTTTTCAGAGAGCCTCTAATTCCGAAGCCGTCTTTGCGCCATTATATCAGCTCAAGGAAGTCGGAAGACGTGCTGGAAGGAGGCAACAAGCTCCGGGTGCTAATGAAGATGAGACTGAGCTCACCGAAGAGTAAGTCAAACTAAGTCTAGTACTAGCACATGCATTGACCACCAGAGCAATGATTAGATGGCAACTGGTCGAAGCACCATGGAACTTTCTCGATGAGGACGGAGAAGAGGAGACAAGAGAGTTGCCGGTAAGCTTGACGTTGCTTTCTTAATGATCTCCCTTTTATACGTGATGCATTTTCTCACAGAATCAGTCCGATGATGAATGAATGCTATAATTTAGAGGACCGCCACATTTCACTTGAAATTATCTCTTGGACTCGTTGATTACGTTCTCTTTGGTAGATTGATAGAATAGAAGCCAACTGTCTTTCTATCGCCTTGAAGCTTGTATCGACATATATTTAATAGACTTACCATTAGTGTTACAGCGGAAATCAGTAGAGTAGAATTTCTGGCTTTGTAAGATGTATTATGTATATGAATTGGAATCGAACTGAGACCTGCGGTCTACACGAGCAAACCCTAACGGTTCGTAACACTTCGCAGTGTCCGTCCTTCCTGCCCGGCTCTTCACAGACAAGAAGTTCCATATAGCCTCCATACTACCTTACCAGTTATGCATAGCTAAGTTGCTTCCTTGTTTCGTTCGCTGCCTCTGCGAAGTTTTCCTTTGCGTGCTCTGTGTTAAATCACCTTTTACCCCCTTCCTCCAGCTCCACCAGAGCGGATAATCATCAGTTCCTTCACATTAGCACATGAAAGATGAATAAGGTGTCTATCTGGACTTATGTGGACACAGTACATGAGGTGATGTGGGCGCGTTCCATGACTTCCAGCCATCAGCTGACAGTTGAAGTCTTCTACGGATCGATGAAGCTTGGGGCCTGCTATTTCCTTACTTAATACAATGTGTCTATCCATCGAGACTCGCCGAATAAAAACTTCCGAATAAGCAGAACGAAGGCAATTTTGTGCATCCGACAGTATGAGATGTTTAGGCAGGTTTCAGTGCTTCTGCTATTAATATTATCTAAGCTTCGAGTGGACGGAAGTTATACAGTAAGTGACAAAAACCGCACAGGGCTATTACTGTTATCTTCTACAGCTATGCACATAGAACAAGTTATTTCTTTGAGACAAAAGCCACAGATGTGGTGCTAGCTGGCTGAGAGGGGAGATGCACAAGTTTAAAACGTGCACGTGTGGGAAATCGGATAAGTATCTCGCATGATGACGTAGTCAAACCATGACGCACGCTTTGCCTCTATGTCATTGTCAATACTAGTATGCAACCTGGACAGCAATGTACCATCCGCATTCCGACTACTGTAGCCATCACTGCGGACCAGATTCGTGATGACTTATTATCAAACGTTGCTTGGGGCGGTGTCCATCCCGTGTATGTGTAACGGGTTTGTTATAAAATCGATGCGCCGCACTTAAGCCCTGATTACTGACCCCATAACAAGGCTAAACTAGGTGTCCTTTCCCTATCTGATTACTTCACACATAATGCTATGCTTGATTCTACAGGATCCAGGGTCCATTTAACGTATTCGGATACGTGTTGCTGTTTAGGAAGATCACACTTCTCTGCTACCCGAAAACCACCCGCACATCACCCCAACAACACGCTTTAGTCCACTGGCATGAGCTATGTGCTGCTTTCTGCATCGAGTTTCCTAATAAAAGACAGAAAAGGCTATCCACAGAAGTATGTGTATTACAGGTTATCGATTGAAGTTGATTCTTCACGAACGCACTCCAGAAAGCAAAGCACTATGTTGTTCCTAGTCTTCCCATGAATCCGGATCATAAGTCTAGGCTGTTACCGTATTGCATATGCAGCAAGTACGTGTTACGTGTACTGTCAAGCTTGCATGATATGAGATTAATAAATTTATGCACTGTGTTGCTGTACCTCGGGCGATACAGTCTATATATAATCACTATACAATGCCACTCTGCCTTCTGCCTTCACCTGCCTTCATCTCGTTGCTGTGGTTGTTTGCAATGCTGGGAAAGGGAAGAGCATCGCGGAAATACATTGACCTTGTCAAGAGTGCGACCGATAAGTATGCGAACTGGGACCCTTCGATTCCTATTTCTGTAAGTTTTTGTCCAGCAATATTTTGACTTGTATATTCATGCGCACATGTACAATAACTATACCAGGCAGGCGATTACGGCTCGATCAACAGGCTTACGGGCTAGTTCGAGAGACATGGGAATATCTATCGTGAAGAAGAGATGTTAAGACGGGGAGTTTGGAATGGCACTTAGATATATGCACATATATGCACACCCTTATATACTAGATACATTGTGCTATACTAGTAAATGAGACATAAAACACAGCATGTCGAATACTCCCCTTCAAGCCCTAATATTCTGTCGTTAATGTTGAAGACCTATAAGTTCTATTAGGTGCTTGATTTGAGGGATGTAAAGTGCTTTCATAAGGATGTCTACAAGTTGGTTCTGTGTTTGAACATAATGTATGTCAATGTAGTTGTTCTGAATGTAACAGCAGACAAAGTCCTTTCACAAATCAAGGTGTTTCATTCAAGCATTGAAAGTGATCTCCTTGGATTTGACAGTTTGTATTGCTCCCTGATTGTTGCAATAGACTGTAATGGGTGCTGATTCTGTCTACAGTACTTCCTCAGTAAGTTGTTTGAGCCAAATGGCCTCTTGAGTCGTGTATGCCAGTGCTTACAACTCTGCTTTGTAAGTCAATAGTAGTACCAGATTCTGTCATTTGCTTGACTAAGATATTGTTTGCTTTCCCAGCTAGAATACATATTCATTAATTGATTAGTGTCCTTCTGTTATTTGTCTGTCAGTATCACAGTACCCTTGTATGGTCAATGTATTTGTGCCTCTGAGATGAAGCCAGTAGTTCATAGTTCCTTTTAGGTACTAGAAGTAATGTTTCACTACTTTGTAGTGGCTCATATTCAGTTGTTGTAGATAGTGTGCTAATTGGCCTGTAATGTATACAATGTCTGGCTGAGTGTAATCTGCTGTATAGTATAATGATCCTACCATATTCATGTACAGTATTGTTTGCATAAATTGTTCATTGTCAATTGTATTATTCATACTTGTTAAGTATGTCCCAGGCATTATAGGAGTTTGTAGTGGTTTTTTGTTCTTAAGCTTAAAATGTTGTATTATGCTCTGGATATAGTAACTTTACTGTAAGCAGATTGTTCTCTGTTGTCTATTTCTTTAGATTTTGATTCCTAGAAGCTAGTGTATTTTGTTTCTGTCCATAAATGTAACATATTGTTTTAACACTTCTTTGAATGTATTCACTATAGTAATGTTTTCACCAATAATAGTGATATTGTTGATGTGTATGAATGTTATTAATATTATTTTGTTATGCCTTTTCTTATAGAATACAGTATTGTCATAGTTTGCTTGTTACAATCCTATTTTGTGTAGTATATTCATAATTTTCTTATACTATCATTGTCCTACTTGTTTTAGTCTGTATAGTGCTTTATTTAATTTTAGCACTTGACCAGGTTTGATATTGTTTAGTAATTTACCTGGTGGAGGTCTCACATAGATATGTTTGTCTTTGTTTAATTCTCTGTAAAGATATACAGATTTTACATCTATTTGATGTATTTTGTAGTCTTTAGACACTGCCCAGCTTAATAATAATTGTACCATAGTTAATTTTGTAACTAGAGCAAATAGGTTGTTTGAATAGAAATCTATTCTGTCTTTTTGGGCATAACCCTGTACTACTAGTTGTGCTTTGTATTTGTCTATGTTACTGTTAGCTAGTTGTTTTAATCTGTAGACAAATCTTGTTCCAATTATATTTGTGTCTGTTGGTGAGTATGTGTATTCCCATGTATTGCATAATTGTAATGCTATTATTTCTTTGTTCATAGCTTTGATCTATTGTGCTTTATCATTATTTGTTATAGTATTGTAATACATTAATGGATTGTTATATACTTTGTTAAGTAGTTTGTTAAATTCTGTTAGATATAGTGCTAGATTTATTTCATCATTATAGTTTAATCCTCTAGCACATTTTGTTACTTGTTGTTCACAAGTTGATTGTTGTAACTCATTATTGTTATTATTATTATTTGTTCCATTCATTCTGTTATTATTGTTATTATTATTATTTGTTCCATTTGTTCTGTTTGTATTATTATTACTGTTGTTCATTCTGTTATTTGTTCTGTTAGTTCTGTTTGTTCCATTATTATTATTGTTGTTATTATTATTCTCCCCTTCAATTCTAGATGATTGTACATCTATGAATTGCAAGTTTTGTTCAACTGTTATTTTATTATTGTACCATGTTATATAGCCTTTACTTTTGTTATCATTGCCTAACCATTGTGCATATTTACCTTTAGGCTCTAGTTTGTATGTATTTTTGTTCTATATGATACAATATACTCTAAATTCTTGTATGTTATCAATAGTGTATTGTTTGTTAAACTGTTTGTAATATAGTGTTGCAAAATTTATTACAGTACATAGTGTTTGATTATGAATAAATGTTTGGTATTGTACAGTATATACCTATAATTTTGTAGGTAATTTAGATGTTAATAGACACATTTGTACTCTGTTAAATATTGTTTTGTGTATACATTCTGTAACTCTGTTTTGTTATAGAGTATTATGTACTGTTAATTGTTGTATAGTTCCTTGACTTTCTATGTACACTGTAAAGTCATTACTTAGGAAGACAGTATTGTTATTGTTTTGTAGCATTTTTACTTTTACACTATATTGTATAAATAATTTCATAGTGTATTTGATGTATTCAGTAAATGTATCACTTTTATAATGTATGAGTATCATATCTGCCCATTGTGTAGTATCATTAACAATTATAAGTATGTATTTGTATTTACTGTATGCTTGTATAGGTGCTAGACCCTATATATTAATATGTAGACATTCTCTGTATGTTTTAGAAATTGCAGACATTTGTATTTTAGGTATATTGTTACATTGTATGTTTGCATGCATACAATCATTGTATTGTATGTTCTTATTGTCTGTTACTTTTTGTTGTATTATTTCAGGATGATTTTGTATGAGTTTGTATAAATACTCAAAGTTAATATGACCCATTCATTTGTGTAAGTCAATTATAGTTATTGTGTTAACATTCTGTTAGTAATAATGATGTAATACTATCATATATAACTTATTGTGTACTTGTATTTCTCTAATCTTTTTATTTGCAGGTGAATAGATAGTACACATATTGTTTGTTTTTACTAATTTGTGTCCTGCTTCACATAGTAATACTTTACTGATTAATG